GGAATTACAATAGCTTCTTTACAAGCTAAGGGCATCTCATCGGAGAACCATATAGTGTTATAAAGGTGAAGAAGGGTTTTCAGTGTTTCACAGGGTAAGTGTTTTAACGTTTTGTACATTACATGGTCAGAGCCTGGCACTGAATTGTTGCAGCAATTCAGCGACGCTTGTAGTTCTGCTAGGCAGAATGGTCTGTTGTATGGTTCTTCTGTTGTGGATTGGCGCTGAAGTTTTTGCCTCTCGATTCTTGCTTTGTATCTTTTAAATGTTTCAGAATAGTGCGATGAGCGGGAAACAAGCTCGAAATACGTTCGCTAAATAAAGTGAAAATGCTTGTGGCCTTCTTATTCTAATAATGCAGTTACAGGCTCTCCTTTTGTCAGTATAGGAGTTTACTGTTGACAGAAACTTCTGCCAGCTTTGCCTCTTAGCCTGTCGGTGCGTTCTCCTCCCTTGGGATTCCGCTTGCTTAAATGTTTCAATATTTTCAACTGTAGGGTAGTCACGCAACAGCCCTCATGCCTAGTTTTGTTTCTGTCATGGCTCTCAGCACTCGTCGTTCCACGAGGGGACACGGCGTTTTCTTGTCACCTTGCGTATTTCCGGTATGCACTGAGAGGCAGCTTTAATTTAAAAAGCCGTAAAATACTGAACAGCATTGTCAATATTAAAAGAAGCCATGTCTGCCCAGGAGATACTGGCAGGTTTGTAAAATTACTCCCAATTTGATTTTTCAAGTTTTCACCGAGGAGCCCGGGTTGGACATACATTTGTTCGATGCGTTTTGAGGAGTCTTGAGAAGTGGTCACTCTCGTAAGGGTTTCTAACCACTTCCCAGTTAAAATAAAGATAAACAGATGGGGAAACGATGGTGAGATCTATGGATGAGTATATGTTATTCGTGAGGCTATAAAACGTGGGTTATTCCTTGTTTAGCAGGCATGTGCCTGTGGAGAAAAAATTCTCAATAAGGTGCCCTCACGTATCGGTGCGAAAGTCGCCCCAGAGGCTGGAGTGAGAATTTAAATCGGCTAAAACAAGGTAAGGTTCAGGTAACTCAGCTATATAAAGGATTGAAATTCGTGTTTGCGTAGCTGACAGTGTGGTGATATGTACAATCAGCAGATGGTAACGAATTTGTTTGCAATTATAGCTTGAACGGCCATTGCCTTCAGCGCCATAAGGAGAGGAAAGTGCTGGCATGCTATGTTTCTATCTAATATAATTGAAACACCGCCAGATAATGAAAGAACATCCTGGCGGTCTTTTCTAAATACGGCATACCTACGGAGAACGTTTGTATGCTTTGGGTTAAGGTGTGTCTCCTGTACACGCAGCACTTTTGGATAAGATTTTTTTAGGAGTTCTTATAAGTCGTCGATGTTGTGTAACAGTCCTCTCACATTCCATTGTAGTATAGTGTCTATGTCAAAGGTATTGTGTTCTGTGTGTCGCAAAGGAGACTTATCTTATAGAGCCTTTCTTAGGCCTTGTAATTAGGGATTTGTCTTTTTTAGAGCGGTCGAGGAGTTCTCGCCGGTCCTTTGGCGCTGCCAGCGCCTTTGCACTTGGAGTTGCGTCCATTGCCTCTTGCGGGGTAATAGATGAGCGCGTTCTGTGGACGTAAAGTCGGCTTTGCCTTGAGCAGCAAAGCCTTTGGTCTGGCCAGCACAGAGGACGAAGGGATTTCCTTGACCTCCGAAGCGCCCTAGCTGGAGGAGCCATCTGGCATGGCTGATTTCAATGAAGGCAGGGCAGTCTGGGCTGCTCCCACCATGGGGGCCGATACCGGCAGCCTCGGCACACTTCGCGTGGTTTCGGCGACCGCATGATGCCGTTGTGGGGCTGGCCCCCGTTGCACCACTTCGGCGAAAGATGTATTCCCGGCAAAGTGCGGTGAGACACGCTGTCTGGCCTCACGGTAACTCATGTGTTGTGTGTCACTTTCACAGATAAAATTTCCTTTTCTTGGTTCCACGCAGCGCAAGACCGTCCTTGCGTTCGTCTCTGAGCCGAGTGGTTACCGTCGCAGTTCGTGCAGTGTACCTCAGCCTTGAAGTCATCTTCATTAAAGTGTCCCATAGTTCCGCATTTCGCACACGTTAGCTGCCCTCAGCTACTCTGAGAAGCGTGTCCGAACTGTTGACACTTGAAGCAGCGTCGCAGGCTTGGGATGTATCGTCTCTGGCGTAGTTTGAGAGAGCCGGTTTTGATTTCATCTGGTAATGTGCATTGGGTGAATGTTACGATTATGTGCCAGGTTGGAAACTATTTTTTGTCACGACAAATTCTTATGCGCTGTACGTGTACCCCGTTCTGACCTGTCCAAACTGTAAGCAGTTCCTCATCAGACAAATCCTTTAGGTCATCGTCTTCTATATTACCTTTCATGGTATTCATTGTTCAGTGAGTGGTGACGGTTATGAGCTTGTCTCCAAACGCTACTAGGTTTGACAACTTCTCATACTGACCCTTGTCCTACGATTCCACCAGAAGGTCCCCACTAGCCATCTTCGGGGCCTTGTAGCCACTTCCGTTGGTCTCAGTGAGGCATCTGGACACGAGGAATGGTGATATGTCTCGTGCTTTCTTGACTGTATCCTCACAATGAATGGCGTGGTACTTAGGGAACAAGTCTTGTTTTTTGAAAATGAACTGGGTATTTGCCTCGGTGTGCCACCTCTTCTAGGGGCGATCACTTGAAAAGGGGTTTGATTTTCCAATGGAGAAAGTGAATTCTTCGGCAACGGTGCCTACTGCCCACCACGGAGCTCAACAATGGGGCGTGGCGAAGCATGTAAACATGCCTGCGCAACGCCAGCAGTACGTCATTACTATACCCCAATACGGCTTACCCAAGTTAGGATAACCACACAAGGTTAACCCTTGCCGCCATGAAAAAGGGAAGCAAATGGAAGAGAGAAGACGGCAGGAAAGATAAAAAGTGGGAGAGAAAGACGAAGATGTGCGGAGAGGAGATACAAAAAGACGACTGCCGATTTCCCCTGTGTGGGTCAGCCCAGGGGGGCCGCCTACGTGAAGCCGGGGCTAAAGAGGTGTGTTGCCTCCGCCGGGGGGCATTAAAGGTCCAATCACCCGGCATCGGCTCAACCCCAAGGATCCCCTTTTCCCCGGACATCGCTCAGCCACGCACGGCTAGGCGTGGAAGGGAGTCGAAACCCCCCATTAGCTTAGCTCTGGTCCGTGGTAACGCTACGCACCAAATACCTGTTTACGCAGACACCCCTGCGGGAAGTTAGCACGTAATGTGAAACACTTGCAACAACACCGCGCCGAACAAGCGGCTTTGCTGGCACAACGACGTAAATGTGATGATTGTGGGAGCGCGTTCGCCGGGGCGAACGCCAGCTTTCGGCGGGAGTTTCTCCCGCGGCACTTCGGCTTCAGCCGCTGAGTCTGTAACCACCTCAGATTCGAGAACAATGACTGTGATTAACGCATTCTGAAGCGCATTTAATGCGTCCTTACACTCCCCCATGACTGTGATCATGCGAGGCACCATGTGCGACATGAAAAATAAACACTGTAGTAAACCCAAGCCAAATGTGTGTCTTACCTCATTAAGAAGCACGAACATGTAACCATTGATCGTGAAAGGCTTCAGTGCAGCGTTAGGGGGAACGCGATGCTAAACAAACGTAGCCGCATTTTCCGCTTTCATTGGTTAAGCGTTTGCACGGAGTGCTTGGGCAGGCCTTTTTAAGAGCGAAGCTCCTTAAGGCGTGGGCTGAGCGTCCCGCCGTAATCGTACGTAGCCACCTCTCGTTAGCTCTTGAACCAGCCGTAAAGGATGATACTTGTACATAAAGCGAAATGCATATACGCTGAAAAATGCAAATGATACGATACTAGAGGACGTTACTTGTATGATAAATAATAAAAATCACAGCATATCCATAGAGTGAGTGATGATGAATGGGGCGAAGCGTCCATCTGTCCGTCCGCGCTTCAGTCATCCGTTCGTTCTTGCTTCCGTCCATCCGTGCGACCATCCGTCCGTACGTGCGTCCATTCGTACGTCCATGCATCAATCCGTTCATCTGTGCGTCCGTCCATTCGTGAATCTGGCCATGCACCCGTTTGTCTGTCCGTGCATCCGCCCGTCCCCTCGTGCGCCCATCTGTCCGTCCATGCGTCCGCCCTTGCGTTCTTCCATGTGTCCATTCGTCCGTCCGTCCTTGCGTTCGTCCCTGAGTCCGTCCATCCATGCGTCCGCCCATCCGTGCGTCCATTCATTTGTACATCTGACCATGCGTCCACCCGTCCGTCCATCCGTGCGTCCATCCGTCCGCCCGTCAGTTCGTCCCTCCATCTGTCCGTCCGTTCGTACGTCACACAGACAGACAGACAACGGATGGACGTGGCCAGTGGATGATTGTAGGTTTGCCGATAAAAAGTGATACGCGCAAGGCGGCGGCGGCTCGCGTTTGAAGACGGAACTCCTATGCGCGAGCGTGCGAGAAAATGGGAATAACGTCACACGAAGACGTAGGTGATCCTGTGTTTGTTGGTGGCATCGTACGTTAGGGGGCGTGGTGTAGTAAATTAACAGCTGTTTGAGCATGCGCGCTCGTCCACTAGGTTGGCGGCTGGACAAGGCTGCAGAGCGGCGTGCGCGCAAGGCAGTGAAGGCGGCTCGCGCTCGAAGATGGAACCCCGATGTGCGAGCGCGCGAAGCAGAAGTGTGCTGTGAAGCTGCGCGGCGGCACCGACAAGATCCCGCCGTATGACAACGGGAGGCCGAAGCGACGCGGCATCGGCGTGTGGACCTAGTTTCGGTCCACTCTCCATCATTCACCCTGTGGATATGCTGTCATTTTTTATTTACCTTGGTCGATGTTCTGTAAATTTCGTCCGTGACTATCAATTGTCATCACTGGGGTAAGTAAATAAATGAACGCACATTTACTGGCCTTTTGATTTTACGACCTACGAGTGAGCAAGAACTTCAATTTTCTGTGACATTGAAATGTACTCACCATACGGTTAAGGGAGGAGAAGCAAAATACATTCTTTGTTCGTGTCACAGACCACTTGCTGTGATCCTCTCTGCTTGAAAAGGAAAGCTGCCCATTTGCGGTATGAATGAGCACTGTCTGCACGTCAGTGACTTGGTACTTAGAGCGACAGAACTTTTCCTGCACGCCGCCATTACCATTTGTCCATGATTGCACGACTATACTGTCATTCATCGTATCTTTTAATTCATCTGTGTAGATGTCTGCAAAAATTGTTACGTAAGAGCAACAGAAGGATCGAGTTATTACTTATTACAGAAAAAATTAATGGGGGTAAACATGGAAGAGTAGTGCATGGTTCAGGGGCCATCAGCTACTAATAAAGTAAGTTATAAGTTTTTATGAGCAACCATCACGTGTTTTATTATTTTGAAACAACTAAACAAAAATGCTACGCTCTTTACGCAGTCATGGCCATGACTTCCTAGAACTCTAGTCTGCCTACATTATATCACTGGAGAATTTTTTCAACGCCAGTGCGACAAGTATGTTATTTTTGGTCTAATATATTGTTACTTAACCTTTGATTACTGCTCACTGCATGTTTTGGTGTTTCAGGAATAACGAAGATAAACTAATATATACAACGAACTGCAAACTTGGTTCCATGTTTCGTCTTTATCTGCCATCATAGGGATGTACTGTATACTGCTTGGTATTCGCGTTGCTGGCACGTCCTATTTTTTGTAAGTTTCGCAAGATTGTAATATTTGTAAGATTGTATATTCGCAAGATTGTAATATTTGTAAGTTTCGCAAGATTGACCTCCTACGGCAATGCACTGTATTTGGCATGCGTGAAAGAATTCTATAGCCAACGCTTTTGCAGCGTACATTGTTGCCTTTTGAAGGCCTCTTCTTCAGTCGCCAAAGCAGTTGTGCGAAAAAGAACCTCAAGAGCATTGTCGCCTGCCTTTATTCACATGAAAAATAAATATAGCTGTGAGGTGCCCTATTACCGTTACTCAGCAAAGAATGAAAGTGATAACCAGACATGCTTCCAGGGAACATTTGAAAATGGCCAAGCGCGCATAGATGAGGATAGTTGTATATGCTCGCATTGTTTTCTGTTAGACGTTCAAGTTTGTCAAGTGATGGGACATAAACAATTTCGGAACGAATGGACGGCGAGCAAGCATTATTGATGCAAAAAAATGCGTTACCTAGCTTCACATGCGGCTAAGGATTGTAGTATTCATTTGCACAGTCGCGTGAATCCGCAGTGGTTACGAACATAGAATCATTTTGATATTCAACACGAAGCGCGAACAGCCATGGCTCTCGCTATCTTGGCATGGTCTTGTAATCATTTACTTGGTTACTGACTCTACAATCATTGCTATTCGGAACAATGAAACATGTTCGTGCCGCTTATGTTAACACGGTTGGCAAGGCCATTCCAAACAACATATGTGTGACCTAAGGTATTTAAAGACTAAAGATATGCTGCAGTTGTAGCAGTATTAGTCTAAAATAAAAACAGCCCCATAGGTACAAGATGGTATACCTACTTCTACAAATAAGCACTGTTAAACTTGTTATAATAAGCTCGTTATTACAATGGACTACTTTACAGTCACTCAAGAACCGACAGCAGAAGTAATGGTTACCAAAGTTAGTTTTTCACGCTAGCTGCCTAAAACCCTCAATATCTACCAGTCACAGAGTTGAACGCAATGACGCACTGGCAGGACACATGGAGGGCTTGGCAAACTAAGCGCTTTCGCCTTGAATAAAACAACAGAAGTTGATATCACAATTGAAAGAATATGCGAGAGAGCTGAAACACGTCAACGACAGCGTCCTGGTAGTTGAGTTTCACAGAAGAAAGAGTGCTTCCATAGTCAACGCATGCCGTTGGCTGTCTGTCGTCCCGTGACGAGCGCTGATGTGGTAGCGCCCTCTCTTGTACACAAAGCAAATGGGCCATAACGACAGCTGCATACGAGAACGCACACTGACACGGTGAGCCCTGAGATGCTTCGCCTCTAAAATACAGTGGCGTTTCACTCGGCTGACGCGCACGCAAATAGGTACGGTTCCTACGTCCCAAGAAGTGTCACCGTCTACGCTGAGCGTCTACCCTCTTTCTTTGCGCTCCTCCATGAATGAAAAAGACCCTGCCTGTTCCTTCCTATTCCTCTGCCATCCTATTCATTTCCCTCTAACGTTTTTCCTGACGCTATTCCGTGCTTCCTATTAGGCTGCAGAGGTTAGCGTCATTTCCTCAACTAACCAACACTACTACTACTCTTTCTCTCGGGTAGTAGCGGAGCTGGTTGATTCCGCATAAGCATTGTCACATCATGTTAAAGAAATATAAACTCATTGCTGTGCATGTGATCATCTGTGGCATCTGTAATACAGTGTTTCCTTCAGCGTGGCTATAGGGCTACCGTGCTGTATGAAGACATTCTCAGGGTTGCTGTAACAAACTTTAACGTTTGTAGCTGCAGCTAGGGCTCGATTAAGAAAGGCCAAGTCTCGTCTTTCTAAACCTTCAAAGTGGAAGCGTTTCTTTTGAAGCTACACCATCTACACAAAACAAACGGCTGCTAAGTGGCTGATATAACCGCGGATACCCTTAATATAAATTTGGCGGCTACCATACGCTGATCGTGAATGTGACGTTTAGGACCCAGGTTGAACATACTCGTGGAAACTGACACTATGTTCTGAATGTTTCAGTTTAGCGTGTACATAATGTGAGCACTTCCCCATGTGCGTCATTTTGTTCATAAAGTTTATAGTTTATTTTCACTTGAGGTTGGCGCTAATCCACATGCAAATTTCACTGCACAACAACTATCCAACAGTTCATAGAATGTCTCAGCAATATTGTCTTTCTGGCAAGTGACTACGTGTGTGTTTCATATTTCGTAGAATGGCAGCGATAAGTGAGCATGCTTTGACGTTTGCCAAAGACGGGTGCACCCCATATCAGCAATTTGTAGATTTGTGGATCACTGTATCAGAAAGGTCACATAGTACTTGATTCAGTGGGGAACGGAGAAATCAGTGTGAACAGATTGAAACAAAAATAAGAGACAGAATGAAATACATTAGCAGTATTCATACCTCTTGGCCACTTGGGAGGCTTCGCAATTGCTAGAACGAGCCTTCCTCTTTGCGTAAATAGATAGTCCATTCTTAAAGGCAGCCTCCTTGTCACGTATATTTTCTCAAGAAGAGTCCAGAACACGAAAAATCTTTTGGCCCATTCTAGAGGGTTTCTCTGGTAGACGTTTGCCGCTTGTACTTGAAGGTGATATGCTGTGAAGATTTCGGTAAGTGTCAAGGTACATTTTTCTGGTGTCAGAAAGGGTTTTTGGCCCCGAATAGATTTAGATATGAATTTTCCAAGCTGAAGCAAGCGTATTTGCAAAAGAAATTGTTCAGGCGCTTGGAACATGTATACATTTTCGTAAACTGAAGGTCACGCGAATAAGTAGTTGATCATCGTTTAATCATTGCATTTTATGTACTTGTTTGGTGGTAGATAATTTCAGGCACATATTTTAGCCAGTCACTTCCCTAAGGCATGCAAACATTAATCGAATTTTCAGGGTACTATCATTTTAGAGACATGCAATCAAAAAGTGTGCTACACGACGAATGGGTGTTCTAGTCACTGTTGAGCTGGAATGTATAAAAAAATGTTTTTAGTAAAATAACTTGACCAACAACGTATTTTGACACTGAAGATTAGGCTGCATATCTCAATATACACGTGAATTTATAACAGGCGGATATGCTTTGTAAGCTCCATAGCTGCTATTTAATAAACCGAATGAGTGTAATAACGAAACAAGGTTAATATTGAATGTTATATAAATTTTAATTTTCTTACACCTAACCTATTACCTAACACTTAATACTACTAACCTGTACTGAAAGTTGTACGCATAAACCCGAAGTGCGTTGTTTTCGTGAGAAGCTTTCTGCATAACACGTATTGTAAAAATTACGAAGAATATAGGTAGACATAACGTACATGAATCTATTTACGTGCAAAGATGTTAATAATAATAATTTCTGGTGTTTTACTTTCGAAAACCACAATATCATTATGAGACACGCCGTATAGAATAGAGAACTCCGGAAATTTCGACCATCTGGTGTTCCTTATCGTGCACTGACAACGCACAGTACACGGCCTTCTACCATTTCACCTCCATTCAAATGCGAAAACCGCTGCATGAATCGAAGTTACGACGCTTAAGTCAGCAGCCAAGTACCATAGGCCCTGTTCCCCCTAGGCGCATTCAACGTGCAAAGACGAGCGTTGTAACAAACAGAGGGGTCATAAGCATGGATAGTCCCCTTGTTTCCGCAGGTGAACTAAGATGCATAAATATTGGCATGCCTAAGATTGAGGTACAAATTGATTGTCTTAGAGGAAAGAAAAGGACAGGCCTGCGCCGAAAGCGTAGCGCTGTCACAATGGAAGCTGGAAAAGCACCATTTTGAAAACCCGCTGTTAACCCTATAATTGATTTACTGATATGTGGGGTTCAACGTCCCAAAACCACAATATGATTATGAGAGACACCATAGTGGAGGGCTCCGGAAACTTTGACCCCCTGGGGTTCTTTAACGTGCACCCAAATCTGAGCACACGGGCCTACAACATTTCCGCCTCCATCGGAAATGCAGCCGCCGCAGCCGGGATTCGATCCCGCGACCGGCGGGTCAGCAGCCGAGTACCTTAGCCACTAGACCACCGACAGCTCTTCATTAACGAGCAATGAGCTGACACTGTGATGAAGAATTCACACCTACCTATTATGTCCACAAACTTTAGCGGTATGGAAAGGCACAAAAAGAGCTGGCCGTTCTCTCGTCCGTTGGGCGGATATACGTAGCCTTTGTGTATACTTTGCACAAATCGGGGAACGCTGTGCTGCAGCCACACAAGACTTCCTCCTTTATCGTTGGCCGCCATCAAAACGCCTGCAGCATCGCAAGGCGGCGGATGAGTAAGGCTTGCCCACATTTCACAGAAACCGCAAACAAAACACGCAGCGTTAAAATAGGCTATCATTTAGAAGCTACATCAGAGCACGGACGCGTAATATTGAGAAGTGAGTTTTTATGCTAATTTAGGTAAATTTTTATCTCCTAATTATGAATGGCAATGTTATGCAGCATAACTAAAATAAAAAAAAATATTGTATGTGATTGTTGAATTTTCTTGCACTTGAAGAAACAGTATTTCATTACTTTGTACGTGCAACTTTATGAAACCAATTTTGTATTTTGGAAGGCATAAGCGCGTTTTTATTTGACGCACACTGATCTGGCGGCTTCAAGGTAAAATGAAGAATATTTAACACATGCCTATTTAATTTGTCAACCTTATAAAAATAGTTCAAGTGGCCCTTCAGTACGTTTGCAGCATGATGAAGAAATGCTGCGTATCAGTAGTCAGAGCTTGTGAAAAAAAAAAAAACGCGAGCCAAACATAATGATTAATGGTGTTTTGCGGCGCAAGGACCATGGGTAGCCAAAGAGCGCCATGTCTTTCATGCGATGTAAATAATGACAAATGATTGCGATAGCACGGTCTTCTATGGTTCAATAAAGGCCTAAAATCACGTGCTGCATTAAAGCGTAAAATGTGTTTATAGAGTATAAAGTTATGACAGTGATGCGCGTTTTGATGCATGGGTGTGGAATGAATTGCAAGTGACCATGGTATCTACAAGTGAGCGATTGTAAAATAGCGCGAATGCTTCTTCAACCCTTTCGAGACCAAAGGATGAGAGGCAGGCGCTTCTCCGAGTAGCTATTCCAGCAGCAACCTCTACGGAGAGGTTATGCTACGGATTTTTCTTGTATATGATGTTGAAACTTTGAATTTCATCTAAAAAGCAAATAATTACTGATATTTAAAAAGTGGTTCTTCGCCAATGAACATCCCAGGATGAAGTGGAATGTGTTCATGGTAAGCTTACAAAAAAAGTTTTTTCTAATAGAGTAATTCAATGCATTGGATGAAGATGTGGTTGACGTTGAGTGATCCACCACATCAATCACACAAAGGTGGATGGCTACCGCACAACAGGTGTGAGTGTGTGCTGTGTGTGTGTGTGTGTGTGTCTTCTTCGTAGCTTTGTTAGTGTAATTTTTGTGTGGCGTGATTTTTTACAGACGGCCAATGACTAAGGAACGGTTTGATGACGAGTAATCTATTTTCTGTGTGGCTATCCAATGTGCTCTGCCAATAAGCTCTGAGCGTTCGTTTAAAATGTGGTTTTAGGTCACGAGCAGGGATAGCAATGAATGTATTAACAGCACTGTCATGGACAGATGTGGCTAGCTGGTCCGCCATCACGTTAACTTGGATTTCGTGGTGTCCTGGTACCCAGCACACTACAGAATGGTGTTTAGACTTGTACACTGTGTATAATAGTGAATAAAACTAGGCAAAGAGAGTGTTTCAGTGTTTTTAGTGTTTTCGAAGCCATTACGACTCTTAGGGAATCTGTACAAATTACTGCCTTTTGTCGTTTTGATTGTTTGGTGTGTTTGATGGCCGCAAGTATCGCGTAGGCTTCTGCAGTGAAGATGGTCGTGCTGTGCTGACTATCGTGCAGTGCTGGCTATCTAAATTTATAGACATTATGTACTTTTATCATTCAGCCATCACGTCAAGTTAACGTCAATTGTAGGTAGGTGCCATGCACTGAAGTTGACTTATGTAGCAGTGTCCAGGGCTACCATACTCGCTAGCATTCTGTTTCATATCAGCCTACTGCTTCTGGTGTTGCTAATACTCATGTCTCTGTTGGCATCTTTGCGCAAGTGTAATGGAATGGTTATATAAACATATGACACTCTTCAACGTATGGCTGTGCGTGAAGTATTAATTTATATATTTAGTGTTACTTCATGATGTCCGGCTGAATAAAGAAATTAGAACATGGTCACTTTCCCTCCTCATGCTTCGCATCACGACGACTACCAGGTCACGTGGAATATGCCCAATTCTTCGAAGTTGCCAATGTAGAACTACATGCAAGTACATATGTTATTTCTGTGTCCGAATTTTACGCCAGCATAGCAAGCAAGTGCAATGGCGTAGCCGTCACTTAGTGACGGTGGCAATAGCTCCATTTTTTTATTTTAGGATGATTAGGATGACGGAAGAAAATGAGTATCAGTAACTATGCTATTTTCTCAGCCTTCGACTTATTAGTACACAGCTGCCCCAATTATTTTAATTTTATGTGTGTAAAGCTGCTTTATTTTAAACAATCGAGCCTATGTGTTTCGAATTTCCCTGTACATTTACTTATATACAAGATGTGTGAAATAATGAAAGGAAGTATTTGTTAACTGTATTTGTTACTATGAAACATGCACCAATTTGATTTATCGAGAGATTGATGCACACGTTGGCTGAAAACAAGGAAGTAGCAAATATGCAGGCCAGAACATCACGTAAAGTATTCCTTATAAAGGTTTCAATATTACCTTTAGAATGTCCTTTTCTTTCGCCGTGAAAATCGTGAGGCACTTGGTCATTGTAAGTCAGGTATGCAACACTCTGAAATGAAAGCGCGTCATGTATATAAAACTTTAAGAAGTGAATAAATATTAACATGTAAATTTTATTTTGCAATGACTTTTAAAACAACACCTTGTGGACTTATATCTCAACTGGCGAAGGAAGAAGGAAGCCAGTGGGGGGAAAAAAACGGAGGCTTGGGCATATTTATGGATTTTCAGAGCCTTTAGTGATTCGCCAGAGGCGGTTTTGCTCACTGCGAAATTCTAATATGCGGAATGTCTCGACATACCGACTTGTTTTGGCCAAGGCACCAATTTCAGCAACAGAGGGACGGCTGTTCCTGTCTTGATGAAGTCTAGACAACCTATCGAAGCGCATGCTCGAGCTACATCCCGCATCTCAGAGCTTTTCATTTATTCAAGGCTCTATTATCCCCATGAACCTGTACTTTGTGTAGATTTCCCAATATTGGTACTTTAGGCGCTTAGATAGCCTGCTTGACCGAATTCACCAAGACAACGAGCGCTTATTCTTCTTTATATCACCTACTTCTTCAGGTAATCGAAGTACTCACTGACTTTTCCTTATACATTGGTTCCAATGTATAGTAAATAGGATTTCCGATCGTCGTGTTTATAGAAGATGACAGTAACTTCCACATTCCTCCCTTGGAGTCACTACCGTAGTACGCCATTTCTTCACCGAAAAGTGGTCTATAGTTGTAAATAGAATTCTTCGTTTTTGGCAGTTTGTAAATAACAAACCTGAAAAAAATGAAAGTTACGGCCATTATATTTTCTACGAATGTACAAAAAACAAAAAATGCAAAAACAAACAGCTCCTGAGAAGCTGCCTAGAACGGATGGCGAGGCTGGTAGGGAATGGGGCCTTAGGAAGCATAAGCTATTGGAGCAGCCTTTATGAAGTCACTCCGGAACTTGTTAGGACGCCTACTATTACAACTACAGTTTTTAGGTACGCACTATGCCATAATTGATCATTATTTTATGAAGCAGGGAAGCATTTATTGCGTGTCAGTAGGGCAATACGAGCACCGGCCAAGTTGCATATTCATTGTGAGCTGGTACAAAAGCGTGCGTTAGGGCCATCCAGAAGTTTGAGAAAAAACCATCCCAAAAGTTAAAAAAGCACAGTGGCGCACATTTGAAAAAAAAGGGGGGGGGGCGGGGCTTGTGTTTCCGCCAAGATGGATCAGTTTGAATTTTTACATTCGGTTGGACGATGACGATAGCACCAAGTGTTCCTGTTTTCGGTGAGAACAGTTTCGAGCTAAATCCTCTGCAGACAACCACAACCACACGTTGCATTTTCAGGCGACGACACCCTTGACAGTGACGTCATGCCGGCTGACATTCTTTAGACTTGACTGTTTATTGCTGCGCGTCTCTCGACGTGCAAGCCTGGACCACCGGGACGTGGCAGCTTGTGGTCAGTTAGAAGCGCCGCCATTCATTGAGAACGATGGGGGAGACGCTGTAACAAATAATATTATTTGAACGAGTCGTCATCCATTTATATCAGGCTACGGGCCCCCTTTCATCTTCTACAGATGTATATGAGCGAGCAGGTCTTGCTTTTGTGAGACACAATACTGTATGCGCACAGTGAATACCGTACGAGCAGCCACTTGTCAAAGCCACGTTTCGGGAAATATCTCCGATATTCTCCTTGATTGTATCCAAACCAGCGATCTCGGTATTAGGTGCGCGATAAACAAGGAAGTGGCGCTCAACACATGTTGAATAGCACACTTTCAGGCATTGTAATAGAGTCTCAGCAGTTCCTTTGGATAACGCGCAAATACGTGCTATCAATTTGAACAATAAATTTGGGTTAAGAATGAATGACAAGTATGAAATTACGTGCAGTTGTGTTTAGTGCCGCTTGTGTGGTTGCTGAGGGTGTGTAATTGCCGGGAACTACATGCGTTAGATAAATGGTCCAGTCATGGCCACAGCCAACCGCCTTAACGAAGACGAGGTAGACTAGCTTGTATTGAACCGTTGAAATCTTGCTTAAAAATTGGGGCATTAACACTAAAAAATATTCGTAAGATCTATTTACCGTAATAGTCGTAGCTCTCAACATTTCATTGTTTTATTTTTGAAGTGATATCTATTATTTCATTGCCTTTTTTTCCGGGTGAAAATGTGCATCGTCCAAGAGGCAACTCACTGTGTACGTACAATATTACTATGGCGATGCAAGAAATAAATTTAAATCATGGGCAGACGAAGTAAATATGGCGGACCAGATATATTCGCGAATTGCGAACCAGGCTGTACTCTAAGATGTGGACTATCTTCGTCTGGCAACTTCTGAAACAGCAGCTTTCGAGGACAATGTCTGCTGCTGGTGGACGCGCCAGAATGGCACAGCCTCAGGAGTGAAATGGCTAACTTGATACGAGTACAAAAATTCGCTTGTGCTGTGTGCAATATCTTTCACGTATAGGCTGACATGGTGACTTTTTGACTACAGGTGCACCAAGGAACATGGCTGAAAGCTGACACCGCGAATACGGCGGCTTGGTGGCGTGGTACATGCCTCTGGCGTCTTTAAGCATTTGACCGTGTTCAGTGATTCTGCCACTCACAGGCTTTTGACAGGCATATAATAAGTGCTGGTAATGACACTGCGCTGGCTGCACTACGGGTCCCCGCGAAAGCTGTTCATTACATATTTAATGAAGTCATTGCTGCAGTTGTCAGAAGTACATGACACGCAGCATGGTTTTTTTTTCGTGCTATGCTCGTCAGAATAAAGTTATGTTGTTTCATGCAAACCAACCCGTGCAAACATTCAGTAACTGTGACAGTAGACTTACACTATACGACTCGCAGATCGGTTTGATACTGTTTTGTTAAGTTTCATTTTTAGATAGGAGTTTCCTCGACTGATATTACTTATAGAAAAATACAGTACCACTGTTAAGAAGAAAAGCACATTGAAGCAAAAGAAAATGTAACCACAACTATCTACTTAGGTTTCGCAAATGGTAATAAATGTTTGTTCGGCACAGTCACATTAAAACGTATTATGCGATTGTCCTGAACTCCACTCTTCCCCGCCTTTCCATCTTCGTACGTGATACGCAAGTTGGCAACACGTTGAATGAGCTGATATAACTGACCTGAGTCACTGGGATGGGTTGCTTTACTCTCGATGCTATACATAATTTTTTGAACATGTTCAAACGACAAATGTGTTGTGGTAACAGGGGCGGCAGAAGCAAAAAAAAGGAAAGGCTGGGAGGTCTACCAGGCGTTCTTGCTGTTCGTGAACCTACACTGGGAGAAAGAGAAAGGAATTTAAGAATGAAAGAATCAGTGGTAGTTGAGCAGGTAACGTGTCGTGTAACCAAGCTCGCGAACACAGCTTCGATTCTCGGCTATGGCATCCAAACTTGAAAGAATGCGAAATGCGCATGTAACTGTATAATCAAATTTGTGGATGCATGTTAAATAAATCAGCGCCATAATCACAAAGTGAAGGATGTTATAGGAGCTTGCTGGGAAATGCGCAGGCGTTTCTTGGCGAGACCATTTAATTAAGAAGGTTTAACGAGCCGGCGCATGATGTGTACAGCACGTCGAAGGCAGCATTGTCGGGACGTTCCGCAGCCCGTACTGCACAGTGTTAGTCACGTCGATCGGCACATTAACCATCTGCTCCTTTATGCCGTACTGGCCTCTGCAGTGAGTCATATGCCAAGACTCATAAATGGCAGACGTGAAGCTATCAGACGTTCTTCAACAGGATTGAAAGTGAGCAGGTGAAGGTGCTTGGGGGGAAATCGCTACCCGTGCGTAACATTTAAGGTAGGGCCGTTGTCAGGCAGGAAGGAGACGTGGCACCCGGAAGGACTATGCCTTAAGAGTCTCACATAACTCATCAAACCATCATCATACGTACGCCTGTGCCGGCACTACCTCCCTCGCAGGGTTAGTGAGAGGGAAGCTTTGTTTTTTGGGTGATATGGTCAATACTCTGAAAAGAAGGCCACCACTTGGCGCCTGGTGCAGAGTAGCCGCAGCCCGCGTCACGACATCCAACCCAGAAAGACACAACAAAAAGACTACTCCTCAGCGCGGTAACTTCAATCACCGCACCCAAAGCAAACGTACCCTGACCATGTCGCACGACAGGCAGCCGTTGAGGAGGCGAGCGCGCTGGCCAGTGAAAACTGACGCCTTGTGGGACGATACTTATAGCGCGAGAACAGAACGACAACAAAGGGACACGAAGGAGACGAGTGCTACGAGCGTGTCCCTTTGTCGTCGTTCTGTTCTCGTGCTATAACTATCATCATGTCATACCAACTAGCCCAAACCACCACACGCCTTGTAGGAAGCCTTCACGTGCGCGCTGGGCGGAGCCTTCAAGTGCGCATCCCCCTGCTTACATTGTCGGGGATGCCATTGTTGGAATCGCTGACAATTCTAAGTCGGTGATTCTATTGTTGCAATCACCGGCTTGAGGGGCGACCGAAAAAGTGTACACCGGCAGTACCTAAAAACCCTGCACTTAAAAGGTTAATCCAGATTTTTTCACTAAGACATGCCTGTTATCCCCACTTTGACGCTGGCGCAAAAAACACTACAAATATACTATGCACACAACGCAACTTGTGCGAATGACCAAGGGACTGATGGTCTGTGAAGCGTGTTTTAGCATTTACATACCGACTTTGGATAGCTGGAAGATTGATATTTATTTGATGGCAAAGTGACACAAAAATGTCAACCTATCTAAAACAGCTTTGTAGTTGCGAAAGCTAACATTACAGGACAGCACCAATGGCTACGAAGAAACAAAGGAAATATTCAGTGACACAACTTCGACTTCAGGAGAGCATCGTAGTAAATGCCTAATGTACTTACACCATCCTCGTTCACTCCTTTCTTATTACGTGGCACTATCATGTTTAATGTGTTCATTTTTTTCCACACGCAAAAAATATAAATTGAAATTGACTATTGATTTCCAGTAAGACATCCATTTTGCTGGCAACATACAGGGCCGAACATGCATTTCCACAAAATTTTCGAGCACTGTTGTAAATTTTACATACCAGTCAACGGGCTTTCTCATAGAGTTCTTGCATGAGACTCGCCCCATAACAAATGCGGTATTGCAGATATACAACAGGAGAGAGCACAGAAGGCCAGTCGTTGGTACAGAAGTCATCCTGGTCTATTTTTTTCTTGCTAGTTGAACAGTCGGTGATGAATAAATTGAGAACACATGTAGTCATGGATTTTAGAAAATTTTTTCTCTGAGCAAATCACGCAGCGTTTTCCGTCGTCATGCGGACATAGCTGCTCAGATAGCACTGTTGCACTTCATAGCTCGAGAACAGATCATTGTCAGCTGCGAAGGAGGATTTTTTCGCAGCACTGTCTTTAAGTGCCAATGTACGACATATAAAGGCCCACGTCCCCGTCATCACTGTCTCAACAGCATCTGCCTCTAGGCTGGGTAATGTCATCGTGGTCTTCCGTACGGGTTATAACGTAGATTTTGTATTCGGAAGAATTAGGTATGTTTCTATCTTTTAAATTTGAGTCTTTCTGAAAGCTACAGTGCGCGCGACAAGGTTTAAAGCTGACGGAGAAGAGTTGCGATTGTCTTAGCGATTTCTAAAAGCACCGCACCCGTGTTTTTGTACATTGAGTAAAATGTCATGATACTTTGTTGACGTACTACTAAATACTCACTCGCTAGATGATAACGACATCTTCATTACGGGTATGACACTGTACTGCATATGTGAATTAAGTGGGTCGTTGGGCGACACCACCCTCCGTTTTCAGCTTAGGTCGACTAAAAATGAGAAGCTCATTCAGACTTCTTCATAAAATACAATTCTACTTTAGAACTCACAAGGACTAACCAGTTTTCCCGAAACAAAGTCACCCTGACTAAGACTAATGTTTTCCTCAAGCAGACTTGGACTAAAACTCATCCCAAAATTTACTGACTCAAACCCACTCAGACTAAACTCATGGCTCGATACGAGTGAGCTTTGTGAGTCGACTCACGAGTTTGCGGACCTGTGGTTTTCAGTGATTAGTAAATATTATTCCAGATTTCACGCGCCGGCTTTCTTCTTTTTTTGACTTGTGTGGTTTGTGCTAAACAATAACGGGTTGAGATGTCTCTATTTCATTTTTTCCAGCAGTAACCATAATATGATTTTGACATGTTGATAGCCACTGGCTTGTGTTCAAGTTCATAATTGTGCCTTTGGAAACACTTAGCGTTTTGGCTCGCAGTAGCTTCACCACGACCGCATACTTAAGATGTAACTAGCATGAATAAGAAAAATAAAACAACTAACCAGCTCCACTTCGTTGACACTGATGAAACAGCGAAGTATCGCATTTCTACGTTTTTCAAATTATTCAGAGATATTCTATGAGCGCTCTTTGTGATAAACTCGTTGTTAAGCTTGCAAATGGTAGCACGGGAACTGATTTTGGATAGCAGAAATTATCACGTGACAATGATGTGGCTATGGTAATGCGCATGCTGTATGTTGAAGGAACTGTTGCCTCTGTTTCCATTGGAAAATTTCTGTGGTGGAATTCATCTAATTATAGAGGCACATAGGTGTTTAGGACAACGATATTTTTCCGACAGGCCTCACAGACTTATATGGCACATACCCGCTTGCTGGGCTAACCAATGCCTTCATATTCATTGGGATATCTGTGGCATATACGTGGTCGTGGTAGGCGCGACTCGCTGAACGGACACTGGGAAGCCAACTGGTGACCCTTGGTCAGGCTCGCCGAGCCGCTATAGCTAGTGGAGCCTTAGAAGAGCCCCACCTGTGCTGAAACACCCTTTTTTAAATAAATGTTGTTTCTCTCTCTGTCTACTCGTTTATGCTAACCAGGAGAGTTACTATAAGATTCGGATCTGAAAGACTCGATTAAAAACAACTTCGCAGTTAACAGCGAGAGGCTGGTTAGTTAGAAAGGGAAACTGAGTGCAGAGGTTTTTCATTGATTGAATGACCTTCAGAGCCTTCCACGATGGAGCCTGACGATTGAGCATATCTGTTCTTGACGAAATAGCTTTATTACACTAAATTCAGATTTCGACCTGTACATTCTCCTTATTGCTTACAAAAACACTTCCTTGTTCGTGAGTAGCCCATACAAAGTGCACGTTAGTCCTCACATTTACCACTTTTGAACTGAATACTTCGAGACTGATCAACGCAACCGACGTCGGAAGTTTCACTGTCTGGGCAGCGCGAGTACAATGATGGGGAAGCGCTAAAAGTGCCTCAGCGCTTCAGCGTAGGTGTTGAATGGAAAGTTATTTTAGTTGAAAGTAAAGAAAAAAAATAATATGAAGGAATGGGCACTGTCTGTTTGCTGCTTGTATTTAAAAACCAAGCGGTAAATCTAAAATTAGCTTTTGAAGTTTGATTATGACGGGGAGATATTTATTTGTTATTTGGTTTTGATACACAATGAACGCGAAAATGTTGAAGGAACAGATAGTGAACTGCCACCGAAATTGACACACCACCTGCCTGATTCTTTCGGAATGCCAGGAAGAGGAGAAGAAGACAGGGGGAAATAAAATAACACAGCCGTAAATGCATAAGTAGTCCACATGGACAAATGTGTATCCATGCCAAATAGGCTTGGTTCAAGAGGAGTTAGCAGGGTTCGATGGGCCTGGTCGCGCCAAGTGGCACACCCCCCGGGAATAGGCGATGATATAGGGTTGTGATCTAAATCTAATAGGTTCATATCCTTTTATCAGCACTTCTCGCTGCATAACAAACGTGGGAAGTGCCGCCCGGTGGTCTAGTGGGTACTCGGGTGCTGACAAGCAGGTCGCGGGCCTGGATTGTATCCCGGCTGCGGCGGCTGCATTTTCGATGGACGCAAAAGTGCTGTGGGCCGGTGTGCTCAGATTTGGGTGCACGCTAAAGAACCCCAATTGGTGTAAATTTCCTGAGCACACCATTACGGCGTCTCTCATAATCTTATCGTGGTTTCGGGAGGTCAAACTCCACATAACAAAGAAATCACAGAAAATGCACAGAGTTATTGATAATGAGTGTGGTGAAGCGTCCGTCACTCTGTCCGCGCTGCTTTCCGTCCATTCGTTCTTGCTTCTATCCATCCATGCGTCCATTCATGCGTTCGTTCGTTCGTTCGTCCAAGCGTCCGTCCATCCGCCCGTGCGTGCATTCGTTCATTCATCCGCCTATGCATCCATGCGTGCGTGCGTTCGTCCATCCGTCCACCCGTGCCTCCGTTCATCCGTCCATGCGTTCATCCGTGCGTTCGTTAAGAGCATGTCATGAAATATGTTCTTACATCACACGCATGTCATGATTATTATGTTTGCACTAATCATATACCTTCATCAACTATTCACGTACTACCAAATATACTGTATGTGAAGGTAGCGAAACGACCGAGAGCGCATCATGTGCGTGGCACGCAGTCATGTTCTTACATGACAAGCATGTCATGATTATCATGTTTAGATGTGCCATTTACCTTCCTAGTTCACTCGCGTTAATTATTATCAAATTTGGTAATTGTGAAGCTGAGCGAAATGGTCGTGAGGGCATCATGAGCATGGCATGTAGTCTTGCTCCTACATAGCACGCATGTCTTGATTGCCATGTTTTCATAAGTATATACCTTCATCATCCATCCACGTCGCCTAATACCAAATTTGGTGTATGTGAGTCTAAGAAAAACGACTGCGAGCCGCATCATGACCATGGCATAGATGCACCACTAGGTGCTAACATGATAATATTGAGATGTGCGTCAAGTGAGAACATGACTACATGCCATAGTCTAGGCGCCAATACATTTCGACGGGACGCAATGCGCGTGCTCGTCGGCGTTCATTTCTTAGTATCACGTCGCAGTCACGCCGGCATGGTATCAGGTAGACTTGACACACTGCAGTTGGGATCCTTGATGCATGCATTATGGTTACACAAGCAAGCAGCTTTCAAAGAAAAACAAAACAAGGTAACTGACATCCGAAGATAGCGTGCACATCAATACCTAGCATATTTGATGGGACAAATCAAGAACCCTCTTCTCTTGTTGGGGCTAGCTGCCTTAATATTGCTTCCACTATTCGGCCTTACTGCAGTGTTTTCAGTCTGCGTTTGAGTGTGGTCAAGCTCACCTATATTTGTTAACCTAAAGAACGAAAGATTTACCTTCCGTTTAGAACGGTCGGCCATCTTGGCTCGGTGCGAGATGGCACACCTCACATCGGCTCCGTCGATGAAGCCAATTTTCGGAAGACCACTCAACTCCAGGTAGACCAAAACAGTACAATCAGTTCCAGCTTGACGTCCGGAACACGCAGATACTAAATTTTGGTGAGTCCGCCTGATTTTTCGGATTTTGCGACCGATTTTCGTCAGCCAACGTGGCGAGTCAGCTGTGCCTAACCAATCAGTTAGGTCTAGCGACGGCTTCGGCCGCCTCGGACCGCGCCGGCGGCCCCACCGCGAGTGAAATGACGGCGGCGGGCCCCTCATCCATGGACACCTCCTCACCGGGGGACTCAACCGATTCTCGACTGGAGTTCGGGACGAATGGCCATCGCCGTCACCGGAACTTCAATCGACGGGACGCCGGACGGCATCACCGGCTGGGTGGTGACCACCCAGCGCGGCAAGAAGACCTCGGGCAGCGCAGAAACCCCACTTCAAGTTTCGGCGCCGACACCCGGTAAGAGGGCAGCTCAGCCAACCCGGGTCCGGGTTATCAAGAGAGTCAATGCGAACTTCTCGAAGACGGCCCGCATGCCTTTTGTGCCGAGAGGCGAGTACAAGATCGTGGTCAGGCCCCGCGGGGCACTACTTGTCGGCAAAGTAATGATGCCGGAACTCGTGCGAGCCATATCGAGTGCGGCAAAGGTGAACAGCGAGGAAATCCAAAGGGACACGGTCTGCCCGAACGTGGCCCAGAACATTAATGTAATAAGCACGCCGGAACATGCACGGGTCAGCCAATATGCGAGCGTCCGAGCCCTGGGAATTGGCTGGCAGGCGTATGAGGTGTTCGTTTATGCGGCAGCATCGGAAAACACGGTAAAGGGCGTTATTTGAGGCATCCCCCTCAGCGAGACGCCCGAAATGATCCGAGCGAACGTCGTCAGCGTCAGCGACTACAACGACACGGCGCTCGAAGTGCACCGCATTGGAACCACGCACGCGGTGATCGTGCTATTCAACGGTAACAAGGTCCCAGCCTATGTAGAGGACTGCGGAGCTTTAATCCAGCGCAGGATCATGCCGACAACACAAGGAAGCGTGTAAAACGTGCGGCCAACTAGGGGCACCTGCAAGGGCGTGTGCCCCTGG